CTCACCCCACCTCCTCAGAGCGGGAAGGGGTGCTGTGATCATCTGTCCAGCTGTGTGCCCAGCCTGCGATGTTTCTATGCCTCCCACCCCTATAGTATGGCCTCTGCTGCCCTTAAAGGCTGGCCTGATCCTGGACGAGCAGTGAAGGGGAGAGAGGCCCCTTGCTGCAGATCCCATGGCTGTGGGAAAAGGAGGTGGTCCCGAAGCCTCTGGGGTGGTGGCTTCTTGAATGTAGAGGAGGAGAGACCCACGTCTGAGGGAGGAGGCTTGGCCACATGGCTAGGAAACCCAGGCCGTGTGTGTCTGACCACAGAAGCAGACGCGCCGCCTTGGGGTCTGGAGCTGGGAACAGACCGTTCTCTCCACAGTCACCGCTCACATGGACCGTGGTGATCTCGCCTGCGCCCGGCCCCCTCAGCTGCTGAGTCATGCTCCCCGGGGTTCACAGAGGCGCAGCTCCAAAGCAGGCTGAGTCATGAGATGATGAATTGCGAAATTCTTATTCAGGCTGTCACCACAGCAGCAGTGGGCCCTGATCCACACCTCCTGTCCCCCCGCACCAAGCTTCTCCAAACATTCTCCCCTCACTTGTCACTCCATCTTCGTCTTGGGAAGGCCCTGACAGTGAGCACAAGACAGCAGTGGGATCCCGAGCTTCCCTTCTTGTGTCTGGATTCTGGGCCTGTTATAGCGGCAGGGCTCCGGTCTGTTAGCTCAGGGAAGAGCCTCATATCTCATTTTGTTCAACTCATCTGCCAACAAGCGGACAGGAGACACACTCAGGATTTAGAGCTGTTTGGAAGGTCGGCTTTGGAGTCAGAATCTAAATCTACTTCACATGAGCAAGCCTCGCCAGGCTTCCGTGTCCTTGTCTGTCAAGTAATGTTAATGTTCCTCCTGTGCAGGGTGGAGGCTGCGGGAAGTCACAGGGCGGTGGGTGCTCAATAGCCGTCATTTGACCCGTGTTAGACAGGAGTCAGAAATAAGGACCCGAGGTCTTTCTTCTTCCTACTCAGGACATTCTGAGAGAAGGGGGGCAGGAGAAGAGGGCTGGGAGGAGGCTTTGGAGACAGATCAGAGGAGGTATGGTGGGTTGGGCCAGCAGGCGGATCTTCCTGCAGCCTGATGCCTCCCAGCCCTGCAGGGGCCACTGTGAGCTTGCAAATGCTGCATGCTGGAAGGTATTCCCCACGTTCATTTGGTTCCCCCCAAAACAAAAAGCCAGCAGAGACCAGAAGTGGGCACATCTACCCTGACCCGGGCTCCTCACCCAGTCATACCTCACCTGAGTGTTCATGCGTGCAGTCCCGCTGGGCCAGATCGCCTGCTGGCTCCCACCGAGCATTAGCCTGGAAGGTACACAGTGCTGCCGGGAGGGCCCCTCTGCCACAAGCAGGAGAGGCCCGGGACAAGGGTGGGACGATGGTGACAATGCCTCCCAAGTACTGGGTTGGCATCTTTGGAGCTACAGCAGGGATGGCCATTATTTATTCTCCCTTTGCCATCTGGGCCAAGGTGTTAATAGTCCCCCATACTGCCGAAACCGGTTTGGCTCAGTGGACAGAACAATCAGCCTGTGGACTGAAGGGTCCCAGGTTCGATTCCGGTCAAGGGCACATCCCCAGTGGGGGATGTGCAAGAGGCAGCTGATCGATGTTTCTCTCCATCAATGTTTCTAGCTCTCTATCCCTCTGTCTTCCTCTCTGTAAAAAAATCAATAAAATATATTTTAAAAAATATATAGTCCCCCATACCCAGGAACCAGCTGAGAAAAGGTTCAAATTTTTTAAATAAAGAATTTATTCAGCAACAGAATAAAGATATAAACACAGCTGAAGGAATGAGAGTTGACAACAAAATTTCCAGGCCATTTCAACTAAACGAAATTTACTGGGCTGACACCATAGATAACAAAGCCCCAATTACAATTTCAACCCTCTCTCTCGGCTGAAACGCCAACCGGTTCAAATGTTGTCCCGGGACAAAGCAGGCTGCCTTCTAGAACCTCCCTAAGGCTCCTTCCTGAGCGCCTCCTCCTGCACAGGCCCTTCTCCATTTGGTCCCAAAGATTCCCCACCTGGGGCTTCAGGTGAGGGCCACCCAGACCCTGCGGCCCCTTACCCAGTCCTGCAGCCAGAGGCATCTGTGGTCCCTCAAAGATCCTTTTTTGCTTTTGTCCTGATGCATTTCATTAAACTACACTCACTCACCAGTTGGGTAGGATGGCTCTGCTACCGCTGGTCAAGTTACCAATCTTCTTAAGCCTGCATCGGAGCTTGGTCTTCCTCTTGCAAGGAACGTTCTCACGTGCTCTCTCTGGCAGCTCTCTGCCCCAGCTAGTCCAAGACTGCATTCTCCCCAAAACAGAACTCTGAACCCTTGTCCAGTCTCCCATTTAATTCCTGGGATAACTCTAGTTCCCAGCTGACCCGTCAAGGAGAGATGGTCAAGTCCATGGATCTTGACACCCACCTACCCAGCTCAGGTTACAGACCTCACCAATTTTCTTGGAAGATCTCGATATCGGACTTCTCTCTTGGACTTCTGCGCCTGTGGAATTTTATCTTTGTAGGTTTATTATATAACATAGCTTTAGAGACACAGTAATAATAAGACTACAATGAAAGGAGAGCTATTCCCTCCCAAATTATTCAATATATTTTCTCTAAATTATCAAGAGATTTGGCCACTCTCGCCATGTTGAACCTCTAAGAATCTGTGGTTATCGGCCCTTCATTAGTACAGTCTGGGTCTCGGCTGGCTTTTACGAATAGCATTGCATCTTAGCAAGCTGGTCATTGGTCCCTCCTGCTCCTATAGTCACCGTTGTGTTATAGTATATAGCATCTTCAAATAACTGCTGGAATGCAAAATAAAATCTTCTCCAAAGGAAAAAAAAGGTAAGTGCTCTATCAAAGTGTTGAGTTTTTACCTGCAATATGTGCATATAACATCCCATTCGAGCTTACACTGACGTATTAGGTTAGTACAAGTGAGTTGAGCTTTTTTCTAACTAATACCTTGGATTTGAGCTTTATGGCATACAAAATACATAATAATTCTACTTCTCACCCAGTCCTCACAACCCTGTGAGGTGGGCATGGTGGATATTATCCCTGCTTAACTGATGTAGAAAATCTGAGGTTCAGAGAGGTTAGGGAGCTAGACCAAGGTAACAGTTAAGTGGAAGAGCCAGTACTCAACCTAGGTCTCTGCTTCCTCATTCACTGTTTTAGGTGCAAAGTACTAGTGTATGAAAGAGGTTTCTTTACTCCCTTTCTCCCTACCGGAATGAATGGCATCTCTTTCGCCAGTACACGCACAAGCTGGAGATTTCCAAACAGGAAAAGGAATGATCAAGTTAATTGTCGTGGTCCATTGGGGGTGAGGGGCATATCTTTCACAATGTTTCTGATTGCTTAAGATCTGTAGTTTAGCCAAAACAGGTTTGGCTCAGTGAATAGAGTGTCGGCCTGCAGACTGAAAGGTCCCAGGTTCAATTCCGGTCAAGGGCATGTACCTTGATTGCAGGCACATCCCCAACCAAGGTACATGCACCTGATCGATGATTCTCCCTATCCCTCTCTCTTCCTCTCTGTAAAAAATCAATAAAAAAGAAAAAAATAATAATAAAAATTTAAAAAAATAAGATCTGTAGTTTAACCAAGAACTCTTTTCCTCGTTGCTGAGTGGTGCTTTCTGTGGGTTTCGTTAAGATTCCCAGGTCACGGTTAAGATGCTGGGGATTTTACCTCTAAGTTGGCTCAATGCTATACTCCCCATCTATTTCACATTTTGCCAGTGTTCTGTGCCTTCCCACCCCCACCCCTTAATGAGAAAAATTTAGAATTTCTGTCAATCTTCCAATGCCTCGCTTTCCGGGATGCTTACAGCTTCCTGAAAAGTCACGTGGCTCCTGTATGTCTGGAGCATCGGGATTTTCTTCTTGTAGTCAGGTGGCAATTCCTCCCTAAAGGTCTCTATTCCTGGTTTGCCTCCTGGGCGAGCGGCTTGGCTGGAGCCATTTTACCAGCCAGGCCCTCGGCATTATGGTTCCCGTACAGCTCTGGAGAGCTGCTGCTCCAACCTGAGGACGTACGATCCCCAGGTCCCCCTCCACACACATAAGCAGGACACCCCAATCTCAACCCTTTTGTGACTGGGAGCTGAGCCACGCCACCCCACTGCCCCCTCCCCAAGCATATGGTGGACAGTTGTCCACAGTGTCCCCCTGCTGGAGACTTCCCATAAGCCAAAGTTTTGGACAACTTGGTTGGATAGGGCTATGTCATTTAAGGTGGCAAATCTCTGGTACCTTACCACTGTCCCATCCCCTTTCACAGATATTAATTCACTTCACACGTGTGACTGAGCACCAACTATGAGCCAACATTTTGTTTACTCTGCAAATAGAGCTGCAAAGATAGACCCTCCCCACCAATGCAATTCATCCTACACTAGTTGGTTCCTTGAAACCACTACTTGGCTTCCAGTTGGTCTGAATTAGTTGGCAAACTCAACAAGACCTACTGCCTTCTGAGCACTCCACAATGATCTCTCTTAGCTCGGGAGCACTGACCTCGGTTACCCTTCCCAGAGGGTTCCTTGTCAGTCACCAGACAGACCCCTGCTCTGGTGGCCCTTCTCCCTGCCACGCCCAGCCAGCTGGTACTCTCCCCGACTCCTGCCCCTCTTCTATCAGAACAGACTCATTTGTGCTAAGAGACATATCCATTCGCAAATCCAGAAGCTATTCTTGAATATCATTTATAGAGGTGTATTTTTAAAGTAAATATCCAAGCACATAAGTTACTTAATGGACAAAAATAACTAAGTAGCATATATGTGCATATATGATTAACAACCAGCACAAAATAACTCATAAAGAACCCAATCTCCCAAATCACTGACTATTTACATATTTTGAACCTATTTCCACTCGGTAATGATTCAGACATACTTTCGTCTTGTTGTGATCATAATTCAAATTCTTTTTTCCCCCTTATGATTACATCACATAACATATTCTTGTAAATAGTTCTCATAGTTAGCATATATGAGGGTAGTAGCTCATTGTCCTAACAGACCACAATCTGCTTAGCTGTCCCCCACAGCTGAGCAGTTTCCAGTCAAAACTGTAATTTATAGGGTGGCCACAAATATCTCTGTGCAAATATTTTTTTCCTTTTGAATTATTTTCCCAGAACATGCTCCCCAAAGTGATATAACTGAGTCTTATAGCCTTTTTTTTTTTTTTTTGGACTCTTGTCAAGTATTGCTAAAATTCTCTCCAGGAAGCACCGTTTTAGAGTGCCAGGAGCCTGTTTCTCCACGACATATTTTCAAAATGTATTTCTGACACACGAAAGCAGCTGCCCTTTAAAAATCGTTTTGCTTAGTAGTCTTGGCCTGTGCGCGTTTCCTCCTGGGCACGCGGCCTGTTTGGTCCTCAGACCAAGTAAGATACATTGGTTACTGCACATATGCAGGCTCAGCTCTTACTCAGATCAACTCTACAGATGCAGTTTTCTCATCTGACTGGTTTTTAAAATCTTCATTCTTTGCTGCACACATTTCAATTTTTATGTAATTGAATTTGTTCACCTGGCCTTGAAGATTTTCCCCAATAAACAAGCAACAACTTCCCCTTCCCCACGCTCTGCGCTTTCCACTTGGACTTGTCCTAATCCCCCTGGCTCCTCCCCCCGAACACTCCGTTGTCCATGATCCTAACATTACGATTCCCTAGGTCATCGCGAGACAGCCCCTGGCTGAACACACCCACCTCCGTGCCACCACTGCCATGACCCATGCGAAGAACCTGTGGCTGTGGTTCACCCCCAACGAGGTCCTTCCCTCCGGTTCTCGCTCCTCCACCTTCCTCGCCCCGCTACCACCTTCTTAGGGTTTCCAGCCGTCGTCTCCCCAATCCCACAGCAAGCATCTGGGGTTGGGTGTTGGCCCCGGCAGCAGTGGCCTACCAAAGGACCTTACCCCTTAGTTCAACCAATGAAAGCCAACATTTCTCCAAAGGAATTTTGCTGGAAAACTAAGAAGAAACTAAAAATAGACTCCAGGAAATGTAAAGATATAAACACAGAAGAGATTTTACATCCTACGTAAGTCTTGGCTCAGAGGTGGGCGGAGGGGGGCACCCCTTCTCTCACCCTCAGAACCCCGAGGAGCAGACTCGGACCTGCCAGGCTGTCTGCTAGCAGCGTTCTCTGTGTGGACTCTGAGGTCAACGCCTCTTAGTCCGGGCTGGTGCCTGCCCTTGGGAGCCCATGAAGCCCACCCCATAGGGCACCAGGGAACGCCATGGTCAGAGAAGCCTACGCTCCTGTGGGAGATGCCATTGACTGCCATTTCAAAACCCCAGGCCGTTCCAATCCGGGGAGAGCCAGTTCTCAGTCCTTCCAGAGGCACGTGCCTGACACACCCTGAGACCCTCTGCCCACCTCCCCAAGACTCCCACTGGGCTCCTCCACCAGGAGTCATTTTTTCTCCCCCTGAAGAATGCTAATTAGGACAAGCTTACAAATCTCAGAGACTTAAACTATGACAACAGTAGCAGGGGGGTGGCGGCGGTGGGGGGGGCAGTCACCCACAAAAAGCAAGAGGTGGTTAACTCCCAGCACCCTGCCCGTCCCTCCTCCTCTGCTTCTGAGGGCTTAGGCCATGCCCCAAGCCTTGGTCCCTATCTCTGCTCACCCAACAAGGGTGGCAGTGTGGCACGTTACATGGAAAGGTTGCTAACACCCGCCCTCTGGGAAAATGTCCTCGTCCGCCATCTCCCATGATAACCCTGCCTCCCTACTCCTGCCCGCTCCCTCCCAATCCCACCCAGCTCCACCCCAGTCCCAGCCCCTTAACTGTCAGGAGAGCGGACCCGAAAGATGTGGATGGTCCCATTACTGAGGGACACGACCAAGTACCTGCCGTCCACCATGGTGGTCACCCGGGGCTTTTCCAGGCCGTGGTAGGCCGTCAGGAAGTCGCCTAGCAGCGACCCCTTCGGGTCCAGGATCACCACCTTGTTGACCTCTCGGAGAGTCAAAAAAATATAGCCCTTCTTATCCACAGACACGGAGCCTGGCTGGCAGCCGTGCAAGCCCGGCCCTCCGTACTCCCCGATCACCTGGCCCAGCCCGTCACAGACCACCACACTGTTCTGCTGCCAGTCTGACCCCACGAAGTTGCCCTGGGGACTGGCGGTCAGAAACACCAGAGCCCGCAGGCCGCGGTTGGCCTTGCCCCCGGGGATGAAGCGGGTGGCCAGGCTGCCCTCCATGTTGTACACCTCCACGTGGCCCGACACGCTGACGGCCACCCGGTCCCCGCTCGGCATCGCAGCCACCGCGTGGCTGGCCTGGGACAGGCTCAGCGCCCGGCGCCACTGCACCTCCCCGTCGGGGCTTATGAGGTACAGCCGAGCCCCCGCCGAGAAGGCCACCGCCCCCTGCAGGGCGGCCACGCTGCACGGGGAGCAGCCCTCGGGGACGGGAATGGCGCCTTTGTAGTCGCCGTTAAGCGAGAAGCGCTTCAGGGCCCGGTTCTGCTCGTCGGCCACCAGGATCTCCCGGGGGCCGAAGGGACAGAGCCCCGTGATCCGGGGAGACCGCTTGTCTCCAGGCATCCGCGTGGGAAAGCTGCAGGAAAAGATGGGCCTGGGCAGGAGCCCAGAGCCCTCCAGGTTGGGCCCGGGCGCAGGGCTGGGCTCCCGGGAGATGGACTTGAGCCTGCCTTTGAACTTCCTCTTCTTGTTGGATCTGCCGCCCCCTGCAGTCTGGACTTCTCCATCTTCCTGGGGCACCTGGGATCTACCTTCTCTCGGGGTCTGGGCTCTGTCCGCCTTTGGGGTCTGGGCTCCGTTTTCCTGGGGCACCTGGGCTCTGTCCTCTTTGGGGGTCTGGGCTCCATCCCTACTCTGGGGCTGGGCGGCACCTTGTCTCTCCATCGTGGCCCCATCCTCTCCGTGGCCCTGGGCTTCCTCTCCTCCCTGGCTCCCGGCTCCCTCTTTCCCACTGTCCTTCTGGGACTGCTGGTTCTCGAAGGAGAGCCGCAGCAGGTGGCTGTTCTTGTCCAGGAGCCCCGGATGGAGCTCCAGCTGGGGCAGCGGACAGGGGGCTGGCCCAGGCACCCAGGGGCAACCCTGCAGCTGCCGGAGCCTCTGGGCGATCGCCCCCTCCAGCGAGAGTATCTCGGCCTCACGACCCAGGCTGAGCACCCGGCGGGCAAAGGCGGCCGCAGCCCTGGCCACCTGCTCCCGGCTCTCCAGCTCTCCCAGCCTTTCCCGGGCGGCCTCCTCGGCAGCCTCCACGTGGGCCCGCAGCTGCCCCAGCACCTCCTTCTTCTGGGCCAGGAGGGCCCGGAGAAGCCCCTCGGCAGCCTCCTCCACCTGGGCGCCCACCCTGGCCGCTTGCTCCCGCAGGCGGGCTAAGGCTTCCTTCTCCACCACCCGGGCGGCCTCCAGCTCGGCCAGGTTCTTGTCCACGCCCGCGAGCAGCTCCTCGAGGCCTGGCCTTCGGGCGCGCACGGCTTCGGCCAGGGGCAGGCAGGGGTGGTCCAGGTGGGGGTCCAGGCGACACTCCCGGCACAGGAGCTGGGAGCAGGGCTGGCACAGGAAGCGCAGGGCCTCGCCCGGGTGCTGGGGGCACTGGGCCGCCTGGCGCTCCCGGGCCTCCTCGTCATACCACCCCGCCCGGTAGCCCACCAGGTCCACCACCCGGTGGGTGTGAGTCTGCCGGGTGCAGCGGTGCCCGTCGGCACAGGCCTGGCACAGGTCATCGGCACAGTCTAGGCACCGGGCCGTGGCCGGCCCCCCGGCACTGGCGCCCCCCATCAGGGGGCACAGTGCACAGGCTGGCTTTCCCGCATGCAGGTCTCCGCCGGCCCGAGCCCTCACCAAGTCCAGGAGCCCGTTGACAAAGAAGTTGGTCTTGAAGGCGGCCACGCCTGCTGGTGGGACTGGCACGGTCTCGCGGCACTCAGGGCACCGGAGGTGGCCGCCCTCAGCCAGCTGAGCGAGGCAGTCCTGGCAATAGGTGTGCAGGCAGGGCAGGGTCTTGGGCGCCCGCAGCTGCTCCAGGCAGATCTTACAGGCCAGGAAGTCGCTGCTCAGGGCCTCTAGGAGGGAGGGCGAGGATCCTTGGGACACCATGCTGTGAGCCAAGAGTCTGAGTTAGAGAGCAGAGCGCACCCCCAGCCTGCCCTCCTGCCTCTCCCCCGGCACTCGGGCCCCACCGGGACTGCAGAATCACCTGAGTGGCCAGGAATTCTCCTCTGGTCTTCTGAGTTCTCTGGTCATTTGCTCTGGAGCCAGGGAGCTGCCCTCCTCCTGGCATACATTCAGCAAATATGAAAAAAGTCAGTGCTGCTCGCATGTGTGAAGAGATGTAAGAAATGACAAGACCAAGAAGAGAAACCCCTGGCCTCCGAGAGCGAACCGAGTAACCACAGGCCTTGTGGCAAGGGGGGCCCAAGCCCCCTGTGAACAGGTCCTGGGGTCCCTGCTGGGGCCGAGGTGCTGGGGTGGGGGGCACACAGCCAAGGCCCAGGTGGGCGGAGCTTCCTTGACTCCTGGCGTTTGGGGCAGCATCAGGGGCTCCGATTTCCCTGTCTTCAGGACCCTGGGAGTCGCTTCACGGGGAGTGGGGGCCCCACTTCACACCCTGACGCCCTGCAATGGGGTCTGCAGCAGGCAGCAGGGAGGCCCAGGGGAAGGGGCTGCCCTGCCCTCTCCTCCCGGCCGCTGGCCTGGGGGTCTCAGGAGCCTTAGCCCCAACTCCTAGCGCCCCCTCTTCTTCCAGGTTTTCCTGCTGCAGGAGGCCCTCTGCCCTCCCAGGACCTCTGCGGGCCTGAGATGCGTGAGGTCCATCTGGGAACCCTCCCAGCTCCCTCCCGGCAGCAGGGAAATGCAGAAGGGACTTGGGGAATTTCCCACAAACTTCCGGAAAGTGGGGGCCGGGGGCAGAGCTCCGAGGGCGGGAAGGGGTCTCCCCCAGGGAAGCCTCGGGCCTCTGGTCCCGTGGGGTGCAGTGGGGGGTGCTCCCGCCCAGCCCCCCCCGTCTCGGCCTGACTTCCGGGTCCTTCTCTCCGCCTCCCCCCATTCCTCTTCCTCCCGAACCCTCCCTCCCTCCCCCCACCCCCTGCAGGTGAGCGCGCCCCTCTGCGCCCTCCCGGCCCCTCCCTACCTGGCCGGGGCGGACCGTGGGCGCCAGCACCCGGAGCGGGGGCCGAGGCCTGGACGCGGCGGTGCCGGGGTGCCTGCAGGAGAAACAAAACTGAAAGTAACTGTACTTGTGCAACTTCCGTCCCAGCCCCGGGACACCGACCAGCTCAGCCCAGGCCCCGCCCTCCTCCCCACCCCGCCGTGGGTGCCTCTACCTCGGGGCCCCACCGCGTCCCAGCGCGACCCCCTGGGGGGCTGCGGGCCTGCGGGTCAGCTGTGGCCTCAGGGCTTGCTCCACGAGCCAGGCGTGTTTGCTCCTCTGAGGGGAGAACGTGAGAGATCTCCTGTGATTCAGGCCCGTCCTCAGGCCGGATCCCAGGGCTGCAGCTTATCTGCCCATCCAGCCCCGGGGGAGGCCCTGGGTGCCCTCACCTTCTGCTGAACCAGGGGGGGCCTATGGGAGCCAGATAAGGGCCCTCCGCCTGAGGGCTTGGGCCCAGGCTTCTTGGAGGAGGTGTCCCTGGAGATGAGTGTGAAGAGAGACCAGGGGTTTGGGGGTCGCTGGAGAGGAATGCAGGGAAGAGTGTTCTGGGAAGAAGGAACAGCAAGGGCATGGACAGCAGAGGAATGAAATGGCACAACTCTCCCAGGCGGCTCTGAGGAACCTAGGACGGTTGGTGGGGAGGGGACAGATGAGTGGGGCCCATGAGGTTGTAGAAGGAGGCAGCATGGTCAGATCATAAAGGGCCTTATGAAGTGCATGGAGTCTTGAGTTTCATCCAAAAATCTAAAAGAAATCAGTGAAATATATTTCCCCCAACATCGTATGAAAAATGTGAAGCACAAGGAAGTTGAAAGAATTATAGCAAACCCTCCTATACTCACTGCTTGGATTCTGCAGTTCACATATTTACTATAGTGATTGATTGATTCATCATATATCTATTCAGGTACACACCCCTTTATCCGCAATGACAGGATTTCAGCAGGAAACCCAACTGAGGGGAGCTCACTCAGCAGCTGAGAGAGTAGAGGAGAGCCTGACCTCAGGGCCCGAGGGAAAAGTGTGCGGGTGGCGGGGGTGCGGGGGCAGGCGGGGTCTGAACGGACCCTTGGCAATAGGGACAGAGAGGACGGAAGCCCCACATGTAAATTACCGTGGAAGGCAAAGAAGCCACGGGGCTTTGACCAGCCCCGGGAGGGAGGCAAACGACGGAGGGCAGGATGCCCACAGGTGTTGTAGGTCTAGAGGTCAGGAGGGTGGGCCAGGCTGGTGAGGTTTTCATGCATCTCCCTATGGCGTGTGCCTGTGGTTTGGAGGAGGTCACTCGGCAGTGCCCAAAGGAGAGAACAGGGCTGAGATGGCACAATGGGAAGCAGCGACATTTAAGGTAAGGTGACCAGATCATCCCGCTTTTGGTCACCTTAATTAAGGGCAAGTGGGGGAGGGATTGGGGCTTGCCGAGTCAGAAGCAGTTGCTGGAGGGGTAGGTGGAGATCCAAGAGGAAGATCACAGAAGGCATAGCTGGAGGAGGACCAGTGATAAGGAATGCTGCAGACCAGGATGCCAGCCAAGATGAGGACAGAAAAATATGTTGCCATGGGTGTGCCCGCATGCATGCATACACCTGCACAGGCGCATGGCCTCTGCGTGTGCTTGCTGTGCACATTCAAGAACAGTCGTTGAAAGCCTGATAGATTAAATAGAGAAGGGGGCCGGAGACCCATATGGCAGGACACAGGCTTTAATTGGAGGGGAGAGTACCCCTGCTGTCTGCTTCCAGAAAGAGAGGTGGAGGAGAGGGAGGGCCGGGGTACAGCACCTTTAAGGATAGGGGACAGGGCTCAGGGCACTCAGCACACGCTGATTGGTGATTAGGAACCTAGGGACTTAGGAATCGAGGGCTTAGGGTATTTGGCAGGTGCTGATTGGTGGTTCAGAGCTCAGGAATGTCTGGCTGCAGGCGGGGTTTATGTCTGCTCATCAATTGGAGGAAGGGGGGATCTATCAAAGCCTACTGTGGACAGTGTGCCATGCACTGTGGAATATTCAAAAAGAAACAAGGTATGCTCCCTGCCCACAGTTTGCAATCCAAAAGGGGAGGTGCAATATGTACATGGTGGAATATGAGACAGACAAATTTCATATTAAGATGTCAAATGTCATATTAAGATGTCCTTCTGTTGGGTATTTAGCATGAGCTTGACATGGGGTGTTGTAAACATACCCTGATTCAATCCTCACAGTAACCTGGTGAGATAAGTATCATTATTGCCTTCGTTTTACAGGCGAGGAAACTGAGTTAGAGAGAGAAAAGGTGATTCACTGGAGGAGGCCACATAAAGTGCTATGCCGACCCGAACGAAGGAGAGTTTGTTTGCTCCTGGAGTGGTGGTGGTGGTATAGAAATCAGGAAGGCTTCCCGAAGGAGGAGACTGTACAGTTACTGCCCTACCCTGCCTCCCTTAACGTTGGACAAAGCTTAAAGGGCCGACGGTGTGTGGCCAGACCCCAGGATTATAGAAAAGGCTCCTAAACCAAGTGATCACTCAAATCCAGCTCATTGATAAGCATTACTGAAATGGAACAACCAATGGCTCTGAGCTGCCTGTCATGACTTGAGCCGATGAAGCAGAGACAGCATTGAACCATATGTGAGCGTTTATTCCAATAATGCAAGCAGGTAATAGGAGAGCAGCAGGTCACCCACAAAATCTGCTCCTCCCTGCCTCCCACCCCCCCAATAAACCAGCTGTTTATATTGGGTAGAAGGACAAAATTACATGGAGAAGTAGACAAAAGAGTAAGAATGGGTATGGAAAATAGGCAGTTTACAGGCAGTGTGGGCTGGGGGTTGCCAAAGCCTTGGGGTACGCAAGGGGCTGGTGCCTCTGGGTTCTGCAACGAGGCTGTTAATCTTTCCATGGTAACTGGCAGCTCCTGGATGCAGAGAATGGGCTGAATTTCCAGGTGAGCTCCCTGGTCCGCCCCCCACGCTCCCCCCTGCAACTCCGGACCACGTTTGGAATGTGCATTCTTTAATCAGAACAAAACAATCATGGTTAACATAGCATGATTAATATTTCTTGTAATTATAGCTAGTCCCCAATAGTCAATGTTTGCCTCTGACATTACCATGGAGACATGTGCAGGGGAGAAGGAATTGAGGGTAGGGTGGAAATAGTTGCTGGAGGTTGAGAGCACCTCAAGGTGACTCTGGGGGAAGGTGGTTGGTCTGGTTAGAATGCTGTTGGGTGGAGAGTGAGTCGGGAAATGGCAGTTGAGCAGGCAGAACAAACTAAAATTTCCTGTTTAGAATCCTCCAAGGCCTAAGGTCAGAGGGAGGCATTACAGGATTTGGAAATCTTGGACTTTGTTCTGAAGTTAATTGGGGGTGTTGGAAGTGTTAGCAAAGGTTTTTAACCTTAATTTACATAAATAATAAGGTAATTTAAAATTCATTATAAATACATGCCATTATAACAAAATATTTTTTGTGTATATTTCCTTCGTTCACTATCCACATGAAATATATTTTACATAATTGTATTTGTTGTAAATGTTAGGTCTGATCAAAGGATTGAATCCACGCCCCCTCCCTCGGGAACTGACCTTTAGACCACTTCACAGCCTGCATTCCCTTTAGCTGAGACCACATTCTGACTGCAGAGACAACATTCCACTGCTGAGACCATTGTCTTCCCCCCTGAGAATTCTCCACCCAGAAGAAGCCCATTCCTTTCAAATCTCCGACTCCGTGCCTGCGCACTGGTGCTGTTTTGGAGCTCAGCCCATTTGGTTGCCCAGATGACCTAATACATGTATAATTCTTTACCCCTTTGGCCTCGTGCGTTTCTTCTTCGGGATCCTAATGTTTGGTGCCAAAACCAAATTCATGAATTGCTTTTTATATTGCAGCCTATTTTTACTGTGTGGAATCATTATCACCTCTGATACATGAGTGATAGTATTATATTATGTGTGTTGTTTTAGTTTCATTTGCCTTGTATAGTTTCTGTTACTGCCGAGTTGCTTTTCCTCCCTTCCTTTCTCCCTCTTTAAATGGCTGTACTTATTATTTCACTTTTTTTTTTGTTAATCTTCACCAGCGTGTGTGTGTGTGTGTGTGTGTGTGTGTGTGTGGTATTATTATTGATGTCAGAGAGGCAGGGAGAGGGAGGGATAGGTAGAAACATCAGTGGTGGGCGAGAATCATTGATCGGCTGCCTCCTGCACGCCCCACACTGGGGATCAAGCCCACAACCCAGGCATGTGCCCTGATGGGGAATCAAACTGTGACCTCCTGGTTCATAGGCCGATGCTCAACCACTGAGCCACACCAGCCCGGTGAGGATATACACTGAGTGGCCAGATGGTTATTTTAATATATTTTATTGATTTTTTACAGAGAGGAAGGGAGAGAGAGAGCTAGAAATGTCGATGAGAGAGAAATATCGATCAGCTGCCTCTTGCACACCCCCTACCAGGGATGTGCCCACAGCCAATGTACATGCCCTTGACCAGAATCGATCCTGGGACCTTTCAGTCCACAGACCGATGCTCTATGAGTGGCCAGATTGTTATGACCGCCCCATCAGTACTTCATTGACACTTCCAAAAATACTGAATATTGAAACTTCCTAAGCAAATACTCTTAAGGTTTTATTATTATTATTTAGATAACTAATTCATTTCATTATACTGATGATAATAATATAAAGTGGTCATAATAATGTGGCCACTCAGTGTATATCCTATATAGTAAAAGGCTAATATACAGATTGTCCCCTAGACCAGGATTTCAACCAGCAGGCAGGCCGGCCATTGGCCCATGTCCCCTCCCTCTGGCCAGGCTGGCTGGACCCCACCCATGCACAAATTCATGCACCGGGCCTCTAATACACACACACACACACACACACACACACACACACACACACACACCATATTTTTCGGACCATAAGACGCACTTTTTTCCCCCCAGAAGTGGGGGGAAAAAGTCCCTGCATCTTATGGTCCAAATATAGCCTACACATATACTTTAAAAAAAAAAGTTTTTTTACTTGCTCGGCTCTGTGTGGTCTCTGTGTGCTTGCCCGGCTCTAAAATGGTTCTAAATGCTGCTGTTTACTTTACAGGGTTGATTACATGTGTTTATGACTGTGATGTTGGGTTTTAATGCACATAAAATAT